CAATGGCTTCTGAATGTTGAATAATAATGTTTTATATGAGCGTCACGTCCAGAAGTGTCTATATACAAGCCCTTTCTCGATGACTCAGTGGTAAGCTTGAGGGTTTATAACGTTAATAATCAGAGTTTGATCCGTATAGTTGGCACAGCGCTGGTAGCTCATTGTGCAAACAAACACATCATTCCGTACTCGTTTTGCAATGCGTTTAATTTCGTTCTGTATACCCACAATGGCATGTCTGCGGACTTACAAAGCTAGAAATCGGGTTTCGATACTCGTGGTGGGTAGAGCACAGATAGCCAATTGTGCAGCTTTGTGCTTAACTTCAAACAAACAAACAAATCGTTCTGTATATTTCCACTTTTATTAATTCATGTTTGAAGTCTGATCCCATATAGTCGGAGCAAAAGATGACAAGTCCATTAAGCATAATAAATGTTGAAGTGTATAAATGTTAAAGTTTAAATTGCACCTTATCTACTTGTAGGTTAAACTATGGAAATAAGTTTACGCAAGACATTACACCTCTTTGCTACAATCAACAGCAGTTTTGAGACAGCCTATTTCAACAGTTTTGAAAGAGTCTGGTTATTAATATTAACTTTAATGGGAAAACAAAATATTTTAATACATGGTGCATTAATATTTACACCAATATTTTTTTTCGAAACGAGTAAAAGTGGAAATGTAGGATAAAAATAACGATGTGAGAATAACTTTTATGGTAAACCACACTTAACAATCTCATTGTTGCTCTGTGCTGGTGTATCAAAAGAGTGAGTTCGTGATATTTTTGTTCAGCAATGAATGTCACCCGACAGTATTTACTGTGCAGACACTGAACTCAAAATCAATATGCATGATTATAGCTATTTTCGTTAATTTTGTAAAAGTGATATTATTAAAAATTTAATTCTTCAGGGTAATTTTGAATTTTTAAAATAAAATTCAAAGTCCGAGATCTGAGGGTTTATTATGACAGTATGACACTGAGTATTTTAAAATAAATGTTCACTTTGCGCTGACATTGTATATTAGAAGATACGTAATAATATGTGCTTTGCTAAGCATGCGCTTCAGAAATTAATACATTTGGCCCCAAGTTTAAGAAATTAAGGGAATTCGCCATAATCGAGGGGGGGAGACACAGCAGACAGCCCAATGTAGCTTAGTTCTAAAAACAAAACAAAAACCTTTTAAATAACACTAGGTATAAGTAGCTAAAAGCTTACGCTAGGGAATCAAAGGTAGCATCTGGTTTAGCCAAACATTCTTTTTAATTCCATGGAAAAATTGTTTAGAGAAATATTCTGATTCATTAGATAACGACGCCCATTCAAAAAACTACTAAAAAATATGTATAAATATATATACATATTTGAAAATGATTTTTTTGAATGAGTGATTATATCATTACGCTTTTACACTAATTTCCTATGTGCGTAATTATTATTTTTCAGTTTCGAGCTACCATCAATTATTTTACGGGTTGACATAGCTAAGTCTGAAGATATTCTCAGTTAAGTAACAGTAGAACCCTTTTCTAACTAGAAATAATTATTAATATAGAGCAAATTTTGCATTGTAACTTCTTCGCAAGTTATTACTTTTTTTTTAAGATTATGAACAACATTTTACCTGAAACAATAAGGCTCATATCTACTCTTTCTTCTCCTTGTGTATTATTCGCCACACAAACATAATTGCCAGAGTCAGACGAACTCACATACTGGAAAATCAATGAATCACCACCATGCCGCACATTTTGCTCTCCATAAAGTAATTTACCATCCTTGTACCACCTAATGAATTAAGAAGTGAAATATTTTTATGATGATTTGTAAACTTAATTGAAAATTAACTAATGTAATAATACCGAAAAAACAGAGCAGGGTAAAATGGAAAAAGTAATATGGAACTTATAAGTAGAAGGTTCCACCAAAGAAGATGAAAAAAGTGTAAAATAATTCTGAATTGTATCTCTGTATGCATTTATGTTCATTAGACTCTTAAAATGATCTACCGACCTTTGATAAAGAGACTTTAAATTTGGCATGCAGGCTCTACAGTCTCATAAAAAGTAGTGAGGAGTCAAGGAACTTAGGGGCAGCTCTGAGGTTTGATTAAACCAATTTTCTTCAAAGCTAATAATTTCTTATTCATTTAGTTTGTAGCTTTGTATGTACATATACCCGGGTAACTCCACCCACAGTTTGGAACTACTAAAAGAAACTTGGCGAGCGGACTCGGGTTGCCCATGGGTTGTCATTTTCTATACGGCGTAGCCTATCTTTCAAAGGGAGCTAAAACCTTCATGGAAGGCAATCCAGATATAAAGCGTGTCTAATAATACGTTTTCAGAGTCAACAAACCCCAATCTGGCATTGGAATTTATGTTCCTTGGCACCCTCTGGGCGCCTTGTTTGAAACTATATTCAAACCCTCAGTCACAAGCTAGTGAGACCAAACTTAACACACGTGCTCAGCTACGAGGTTTTTGTCGGGCACGATTCCCCCCTCCCTTTTTGAAGTAGCTATAGAAATACCTTGATCGATACGTAGAGGCCCATATGAATGATGACGGGACCGTTGAACGCGGGTATTTTATACTAGTAAAATACAAGGAGCCGTTCAATACAATAATATAAATTCAGATTTTGCTAATTTTCAAATTTGAGCTCTCATATGAGTCCAATCTATTGCGAATGTTTTCAAGACCGGAACCAAGAATTTACACAAAAATTGTAAAAAAAATTACCGTGTAAGATAAGCATCTGCGTTTAGATTTACTGCCCGGCATGGCTAGATGGTTACGGCGCTCGAATCGCAATCTGAAGGTCATGGGTTCGAATTCCCGTTCCACCAAACATGCTCACCCTTCCCCTCATTTATGAGATGAAATATGAAAATGTCGAAAATCTATACGTTATGTATGTTATGCAAAGCTACACGTGGACTATCTTCGCTAGCCGTCCCTAATTTAGCAGAGTAAGACTAGATTTAGCAGAGTAAGACTAGAGGGAAGGCAGCTAGTCATCACCGCCCACCGCCAACTCTTGGGCTACTCTTTTACCAATGAATAGTGGGATTGACCGTTACATTATAACGCCCTCACGGCTGAAAGGATTTTCTTTCATTGATTACCGTGGGCGTTTTTTATTTTTATTTTAGAATAGTGTTATTATTTATCAGTTAACATTAAAATTTGCTTTCGTCATAAAATTACTTTTGGTTACTGTTTGTTTGAACTTAAGCACAAAGCTACACAATGAGCTATCTGTGCTCTGCCCACCACGGGTATCGAAACCCAGTTTCTAGCGTTGTAAGTCCGCAGACATACCGCTGTGCCACTGGGGGGCACTTTTGGTTACTTACTATTTAAAAAAAATCAATTTCAAGAACAATATGTATTTGTAAAATACAACAACACATGAAAAATATTCATTCGGCAATATTGGGAACTATCTAATACTTAAATTTCACCATTTTTTCAATTGTATATTTATTACTGATGTTATACATGAAGAGTTTGTCACTATTCTTTATTTTATTTATCCATTTTTGAAAGCATTAAATAAATTTTAATATTTGTTTCGTCTTTTATTTCACTTTTCAGACTATGTTGTTTCGAGTAATTATACGATTGTATACTGTCAGGTTAATCAATACATTAACTTAAACAGTCATATCTAGCACACTTCTTTGTTGTACTCTTTATAATACATCTTCATTTACAAATTATTTGTAAGAATTTACGGGAAAGAATATTTGGTGCAATATGCCTTGAATGGCTAATTTGCAAGTAAATCCGGGCAGCCAAACCTGTAAATATTTATGCATCTTTGATACTCGCTGGGTTAGATCATTTCAAAGTAGGTCACTATAATGTTACTGTTAATAATTATTGTATTTATACGGAATAAAGTATACTACATATTGAATGTTATGAAAAAATAAAATAATGTTTAAGAAACGATCAAATAAGGTACAAATTATGTTATACAGCTTTCATAAATAGAAGCAGGATCAAATAATAATGAGTACATTGTCTAATGTAAAAATATCATATTTTACCTTTTTTATTTCCCAAACTGTTCCGCGAGAAAACATTTTTATAGTTTAGTCGGTTTAAAGAAGCAGACCAGGTATAGGTATGGCTTTAAAGCTCGTCAGCTCATAAGTCGTACTATTCTGTATTCTTTTTCTCATTGGTTATGATATTTATGGGCGGAGCCTAATTGATGACTCGTTGTAAGTTAGTGCTAGTGATAGTCGAGTGCAATGTTTCAAGGAAACAACAAGGTAGTCTTGAGTTTGTGAATATTTCATAACCTTTACAAAATTAGAATGATTTCAAGTATTGATACTATTTATCCATGGATCGGTGGCTAAAAGAAGGAAATTTAAAGCGAAAAACAAGTACTTCTGATAATATTTTTGATTATTTAACTTTTTAAAATGAAAATGTTTGTCATGGATTCCATCAATAGTTTTAAAGCTCAAAAATGTTCAGTGGCCAAAAAAGTTTGAGAAACGCTGATCTAACCTTTTACCATTTATTTGCTATGTTTTCTTACTGTTTCAGATGTCATTCCAAAAACTACGAATTATTAATATGTCAAGTACCTCTTATTTCAATGTGAATTCCTTACTATTTGAAGGAAATTAATACATTTTTCTTTATGCTTGAGTTAATATTACTAAGTTTTTATGAATCATATAATATTATATAATAAACTAGCATTTGTATAATAAATGCAAAATCCATCTTATTTAGAAAGTTAAAAATATAATTTTGTTCTTATAAACAGAAAGGCCTGTATTTTTTACATGTAAGTTGCATGATTCAACCATTTAGCTTTAAAGCTATACCTAAAGGAAACTGATATTACAACAATATTATCATACATCTGAATCTTTGGTAGTGAAATTTAAAGAACAAAGGAAATACAATAAAAACCAAATAACAATTATATTCCGTAGAGCAGGTAATTTAACTACACTTTGAAAATGATAAAAACTAAACATAATGGGATACTGTCATACTCTAAATCCGAAGATAATAATAAACAAAATAAATGTAAAGCATATTCATTATTTTTAATTGTTTACGTTGTTTTTATAAACGTTCTTAAGAAATTCAAATTATACTATTTTGAGGTTTTGGAATAATCAAAACCGAAATAACTTCAAGCTTATTATCTTAGGCTTACACATATAATTATCAGATTTTGTATTTAATTACAGAAATAACATAATCAATTTAAACATAAATTATCCTTTATCATAACATTTAACGATAGTCATGAACTATTTATGGTTTTATTTACTTTTTAAAATGTTATTTCGTTTGATTATCTAAATACAATTATAATGCAGATCAACGCTTCACATCTCGCAATGTTTGAAATAACTAAGAAACTTTATTTAAAAAATGGGGTGCGTAATGATTCCACGAGCTGGGCGTGATGTAGTAATTAGTGTGGTCGGACAAAGACACGCTACGCACTTTGTGGCTGTAAATGCGTTATATCGGTAACTGTTAAACCCCACTATAAGAAAGATAAGACTTGTCCAGAAATTATCGGTGGTGCTGTTGACTAAGTTCCTCTTAGCTATAAGTTCAAAGTTAGTGTCAGCTAGGCGCAAGTAATCATTGTTTAGCTTTTCGTGAAAGTATAAAAACAAACAACTATTTCATTTCATTTTATTATCACCCCCTGAACAAATACGTTTTGGTAACAGCAATAACAGTAAAAATTAACTTAAATGTTCTTTGAGAGTTCTTTAAAGATAATTTGAAGATGTTATATTTCTAAAACGTCTTTTACAACATACGTTATAATGATTTCGCGAAATTAATAATGGGAGTTTAATTATTCACAGAACTACAATACTAGAAGCACAGTGGCACATTAGCTAGTGCTTTGAACCTCCTAGTCAGAATGTTGCGAGTTTGAAGTTTGTTTGCGAAAAGTTGTTACGTCTTTGAACAAGAAACTTTAACCTCATTTGTTTCAGTCTTCTCGTCTCTATAATGGGAACCAATGGGTAAATGGGGTTAATCTGTGATAAATTGGTATCCCTCCAAGAGCAATGTGTTACCATCCTCACCCAAACTTGAAACTGAAATTCAGTATGTGCCTTCACAGCATGGGATGGATTTAGAACAATAACTGTCTCAAAAACACTTAGAATAAAATGAACCAAGTATAGTTAGTCGTTTAATTTAATAAATATTAGTATAACTACAACTAAAACCACTTCAGTTTCACACTGTGTAGGTTTTCCTTAAATTAACATCACAGTTTCACTGATAATGTATAGCTTTTACCTGACGTATCACCAATATTTTATGAGTAGAAATGGTTTAAAAGTTCAATTGTTTGAAGAAAGCCTTTAAACATATCTCATAAATATGTTTTATAGTTCTGATTATATGTTTGTTGTTAAATAATGTTAAATTATTTTTGTTTCTAATCATTAACTAGGTAGCTAATCAACTGAATGTCTCAAACTGAGAATAGCCTATTGAGGACATATTAATTTATCTACAGAATATATAACGGCAGTTGAACTTAAGATTGACCTCACATTTTAAATCGTTTCTATCATATATAAGTTTATCAAAACAATATTTGTATTTGTCGCAGAACTATTAAGGCTATCTGCCGCTGTCTTTAACTTTGAGCTACTGACCAGAAAACGAGACACCACCCGTCATCTATCTAAGAGATGGACTTTCACTCTTATACCGCACCCAAGAATCATTTGGTGATATCGCACGGATTCGAATTCGGGTCACTACCACAGGAAAAACTGGAGCCGAAAAGTACAATATTGCATATTTTACTAAACCAATTACAAGTTACATGAAACAGTCAATTTACAATCTTTCTTTTGCTGACACTGGTTATGGGGCTAAAGAGAAGTATAAATGTATTTTCGTCTCAGAATAATATGCTGGCGAAACACAGGCAACCTGAAAAATAAACTATTATTAATAGTGTTGAATTGAAAAAAAATTACTACGGACATGACTTGCACAATTTTCATCGACACTAAAACCTGAATCTTACCAGCTATTTTTGTCGAACGTTGTGATTACTAATTATAAATAAATTTAAGGTTTGTGGTAATAGCTAAACTTAAATTATCAAAAGTATGGAAAAATTACATTCAGTTTTTGACTTAAATTATTATTCATTCATTCGAACAAAGTAACATTAGAATGCGCTTTACAGAGTTAATTATCATTAGTTCGGTATGATCAAAATGGTTTTCTTAACATCTATTTCTAGTGATCTATCAGTCTAATGTTAAACTAAAATACTATGTTTTGATTGACGTGAGTACCTGTATGCTGGGACAGGAAAGCCTTGAGCAGCACATCCTAGTTCAACTGTTTCTCCCTCTCTAGCTCTCACTTGAATTTGTCTATCTACGATGTTTGGTATTGACTTACTCTGAGGTTCTGTTGAATAAGAGCAAAAAATATTGTTGAATAAACTTACGGTCTTCTCTTATATAAACTTCAGTAAACATTAATAACAAATGCAATGACAATAAGATTATTTATTAGTATGCATCATTGGGTTGACTACGTTATAGTAAACAAGATTTTGAATATGTAAATCAGTAGATCACGTAACAACACCAGCTGTTATAAAAGTGCAGTGGAACGGCATTTTGACATTGTTTGGAATTTTATAGACAGTGTAATACTACCGAATAGTGATTGCTTTTCGGAAGGGTATAACAATCCTTTCCAACGCAAAATATTCATACACTGAGATCATGAAGATGTGGTTATATAGGGAATTTAGAAGTTTCAAGACGGGGATATATTTTATATTTAATGACATTAGAAAAAATTAATATAGATCAACTTGGGGAACAAGGACCATCCAGAAAGAGACCTACAAGAAGTCGTAGCCCAGCTGTAATAAGTAACGGTATAAAATACATGAACTCGAAGGTCAGAGGCAAAAGCCGTTCACGTATATCAATATGTCTGGAAAAGAGAAACAAGTCACATGTACACAATTTACTTCCATGACATATTGCTCACGTCACCAGATGCAGCGTCTACGGATTTCTGTGTGTTTGAACTGTTGAAACGGGCAGTGAGAAACTATCGTCCTCATACACTAGACGGATTATAGAAAGAAAGCAGGGAACATTGTGCACTTTTGATATGATAATTTTTCAGCGGAATCATTTGCAATGAAAAATAAACTGCGGGATTATTATCAAGATGCTCGGCCTTCAGATAACGCATGACTGGACATTGCGACATGGACGGTAACAAAGTAGTGAAGCTCCAAAATCGTTTTCATATAACGTATTCAACAAATAAAAAGACGATAATTTCTAATTAATTTTTACTTGGAATGTTAAACAAATAAATAAATAAAGGGGTAGAAATAGTTAAATCCATGATCAAATTGAGATTGAGATTTAACTCGTAGCAGTATTTTTCGCCTTGTTTGGTGAAAGAAACTCTATAACAGTCATATATCAACTCCAGGTTGGTGAAATAATAAAGGTGTTAATAGCGTGAAGAGTAAATTCTAAACTTGATTTGAGTATGGTAAAGACATTTTTAAGCTGAACTGAATAAACATTAGAAAATAGGAAATTAGAAGCCATATTTATGTTGAGTTATAAACAAGAATTAAAAAGGAGCGTTTTCTTCTTCCTCCAAATCTAATGATAAACTTATACCTTTATTTCCTTATTCTTCCTAGCCACTACCCCGCACTTAAAAAAACACGACATTGGAAAACTGTAGACCTGACGATTAACCAGGGTACAAAGTTATGTAACACAGTGATATTGATTCAAGGTATTTAGGACAAAAGGATAAGGGTTAACGACTGTTAAGTTTTTCTAATTCATAAAGATCAAAAACGGAAAGCTTGTTTGGAAAATATCTGTTAATAAATTCATAAGACACGTTCAAAATCTGATGTGTCACATTACTTACTGAATGACAAATCACAGTTTAATAAAAAAAATTGCCTTTAACTACATAGTAGAGAACAACTGATGCATAATAATTCCGTGGAATTATTAGTAACTAGTTCACTAGTATTTTTTCCTGAGATTGAATTATGAAAAAAGTCATTTCCCAAATTTATGTTAACTTTCTTAACTGCTTTTCATTATTAATTGTAAACATTTAATCGCATGTTATTTTATATTAGTTAGTTATTAATACATGACTAAGCTTATTTTGTATTATTTCTAATTAGTAAGTTGCCTATTCTTATTTTAAGATAGTTCTGGAGCCTTTAAGCATGTCTCTTGATAAATGTATACTAAAAGAGGCGATTCATAGTCGTTATTGGCGTTTGTTTCTTTTTAGGATTTTTGCATAAAGCGACACAAGAGTAATCAACGCCTTAGTTTAGAGCTGATAAAATAGACAGAAGGCATCTATTTAACAGCTCGTACCGAGAATTCCTGGACTACTCTTATCTGACCGAATAGTGGGATTTGACCGTGATTCTTATAGCATACTCATGGCCCTAAAGTGCGAAGCGCATTTGTGTGATAACGGGTTCAAACTTTGAATCCTTCGATTCACAGTCCAAAATCTCTAGCCACTAGACCACGCTTAGCTCATTAGTTAGTTATCTTTGAGACTGATTATATCTGGGTGAGCTTAGAACTACAAGAAAAGTAAATTGTTATGTTATTATTTTGACTTAAAACAAATGTTCTTTTCTTGTGAAAACACGGTAAAATGTATATACATGAGATTTTCAGGATGGTACATAAATTAATAAATTAAAATATTACAGGTATTGTACTCAGTTCAATGAAACACGTATACATATATTTATAAAGACGTGTTTCAAACTTGGCCTTAGATGAAGTAATAAAATTCGAGAATAGAGAAAAAGATTTAAAAAAGAACCATGCAAAATACATTTGTTATATCTTACATTTAGAAATATAAAATAAATTAGCTGTAGTAAAATTTCATGTTTTGATTTATTAAACATATATGCATGAGCTTATTTTAGAAGAAAAGTTATGAAGTGTATTGATATTCGTGTATATGTACCTTAAATATATTTTTATCTTGGAAGAGCAAGATAATGTAAAAACGTTAATATTAATCTTAGTAATATATGTTTTTCTTTATTTGTTGTTAAGCACAAAGCTGCTGAATGGAGTATTTGTATTATGTCCATCACGGATATCGAAACCCAGTTTTTAACGTTATACGTCTTAAGACTTATCACTGTGCCTTTGGGGGAAATAATACACGATTTTTAGAACAGAAAACCTTTATGAAGTTCAACTCATAAAATATTGAGTTGGGTGACTTTTGGCCTCTGTCGTATGGGTTTTATCAGGTGTAATGATGCATATAAGATGCTCTTTATGACTGGGAACATTTACGAGTTTTAACTAATGAAACCTTGAGTTGAACAACGTGTCGTTCTCTATATTATGGTAGTGGCTTGTATCAGGCGTAATGATGTATATAAGATTTTTTAAAGTTCAGTTAGTTTTAATGAAATACATAAGTCAACGCAGCGAGCAAATATACAACATTTATTTTTACTCTAAGAGCTAGTATTTTTAATAAATTAACATTGTTGTCTTTAAGTAATTTTCATGTAATTTAGTAAATACCCTTAAAAGCTCTTCCATGTTAACAGTTCATAACAATTATACAGAAACACTGATAAAAAACGTTTTGGGGGATATTCTTTTTCTTATTAAATGAATATAAGTGTTCACTGAATGATAAACTGAGTACGGTTTATACGGTTATATAAAGTTTAGCTACCATTTCTTTTAGAATAATAATAAATATTTATACTATTATGTTTTTGTTTTTCTGTCCAACAATGTTTCAAGTTGGAAGTTTGGAAATAATGCCACCGATAATTCTAAGTTCCAAGTTATGTGTTATTTTATTAATACCGCAGAAGCAAAATATCAGCGATATGCTTATAAGTACTCATCATTTATCAAATCTATATTATTTTGTGGTTAATCTTTTTATGAAAATATCATAAATCCATGGTATATGTTATTTTCTTTGTACAAAAACGGTTCCATTGTCAATAACGAGAAAGAAACTAAAAACTTATATTTATTTAACCTTTGAGTAAAATTAGGTCATCTGTTCAAATTCGAAGTCAACTAATTAGTTGGTATGATCTCTTCACAGCAGCTTTGTGCTTTGATTTATATACCATAATATAAAGTTACCATTAAGTTTTTATAGAAATTTACAATGGAGTTGTGAAGAGTGCATCGTAAACTTTTGGATAACAGGTTTATTTCTATCTCACCTCTAACAATTAGTCGTCCACTAGAGGAGCTGCTTACAACTTTTGAGGTCAAGCGATGGTGAGTATGACAACGATATATGGCTCTTTCGTCTTCTGGTGTCACATTTCTGATATATAATTTGCCCGAGGAGAGAATACTGTACTTTCCACCTACTTAGATGAAAAATAATGTCATTATTTTAATGACTTTGAATGGTCATATAAAATTAGTTTTGTTTGTATCTTCTATGAAAAATGTCATTATAAAAGATGTCAATGTTAACATTTTGGGTTTATTTTTTATTCAGTAACTGTTATCAAACGTTATTGCAAGGAATATAAGTTACGGAACTAATTATAAGACTTTTAGAATACAAAATACTGAATTAATGATTCTTAGTTTAGTTGATTTTCACATTAGGAAATACGTTGCGCTCAAATGACGGACAAACTCAGAAATACCAAGTAAAAAGAGCGAAAGAAGGATTTCCCTGAATCTGCAGAACATTAAAAGGTCTTTGTGTTTTACTATCTGAACAAGTAATTATTTTAAGTTTTTTTATGGTTATTTCTATAATCATATTTTTATTTGTAATTATCATTGCAACATTTAATGAACAACTGATGACATGCTAAAACTATATATTTGCATATTCTAATGCCAAGGAGTATTGTTGAAGTTGTGAGCCTTGTAAACGGATATGGCATATATATTTTTGGTCCATAGCAAATACCCAGCCACTTGACAGTTCAAAGCTACTAGAATTGACTTATAGCTAGAAGAATAAGTGATAACTCTTCCTGAAGAGAACTTATTTCCCGATTTGGGTTAAACAAGGTCTAGCCAAAGTACGCAACATACTGAAGAAGGAAACCTTCAGTGTCCCCATAGAAACAGAAAAACTCACACAGAGAATTTTGGACAAAGCTTCGAAACTAAACTCTAAGTCAATCTAGAACAATGCCTTCATCCATTAATTACCAAATATATTTAGACCGTCAGGGCTATGCGTTAAATTCTATTGTAAGTATTTATTCTAGCTAGGGGGGAATATTCTTGTAAAGATAAATGGGTAAAATTTTGGATGAAGATAAATCCAGATGAGCTCGTAAGGGGGGGGGGGCTGGAACTTAAAATTACTTTCGTTTGTTATTTGCTTTAATTGTTTAGTTTGGGATAAAATGTTGATACAGGTAAATCTTCCAGCTTCATTACTCTCTGGTATTTTTTAAGGAAAAGCGATATTTAGTTGATTGAGTAGTTGGTTAATCCACGACAGTGGTATACTTCAGTTATACCTATGTTTAATTAAATAAAATACATTTAAGGATAGATTTCTTTAAATCTACATTAAACAACAGCAAAATACATTAGGTTTAAACGTGGTTATTAAGCTTTCTTTTCATGGTTACCACTGTTATTTAATTATCAACATTAAAATTATTTTTAATTACGAAATATAAAGTTCATATTAAGTGTTTAGTCTAATAAGGGGGAAATTATTCTTGTAAATGTAATTTGCTAGTGTGAATATGCAAATTGTGAGGAGATTTCATAAGAAAGTATCGAAAACGTCGGTGCTTAAAACTTGTATGAGTAAATGGTTGATAATTCTGCATAAAACACACGCAAACACATGGATATAAATATGCCTAGACGAAATTGGAATTTTCAACCTGTGTCTACTTTTGGACTGTTGACCAGAGAGAAGTCAGCCAGTCAACAGTTTCTATTACCAAAAATCCATAGTTCGGGTCACAGGAACAGATTAATGGAAGTGATTTTCATTTTCATAACGCGCCCGGAACATGTTTTGTGACATCACGTCTCGAACCCAAACATTCCGATCCGTAGCGCCCCACATTGGCTCAGCGGTAAGTCTCAGGACTTATAAAGCTAAAAATGTGGTTTAGCTACCCATGGTGGACAAAGCAGAGACAACTCTTTATGTAGCTTTGTGCTTGATAGCAAACAAACAAATAAACAAATCGATCCGTAGCGCGGTACACTAACCACTACGCCACGCCTGATCCCCTATACACTTAAAATATAACTATTAAAAAATCACTTTCATTCGCTAAAGAAATCACTAACAAAGAAAAAGGTTTATGAGCTGATCTTTACGATCTTAACCTACAACAAGAAATTTATGATGGAAATTTGAATAATCGACGATTATTCTCTTTTATATATAATACTTATTGTTAAAGAGTATATAGTCCAACTAATGGGCTGCTCTTACTTGACCGAATAGTGGAATTTGACCGTCATTCTTATAATGCACTAATGGCCCTACGTGAGAATCATAACAATTTTATTTTTTCAGGTATCGGGACTTGAACGTGAGACCCTAAAATCCTCATTCCGGTATACTCACCACTGGGTAAACTTGTCGCGTAAAGAAGTTTTCAGTTTGTTTGGTTTGTTTATTTGTTGTTAAGCGCAAAGCTACACATTGGGCTAACTGTGCTTTGCCTATTATGGGTGTCGAAACCTGGTTTTTAGCATTAATAAATCTCCAGACTTGCCGCTAAGCCAGTGGTGGTGGAGGGCAGAAGTTACTGGAGAGTTATTCTGATTGATTCATTATTTTTGGTGTACTTATAGTAGTAATTTTTCGTTTATTCTTGAACTGAACTGTTTATGGGAAGCTAATTACTTTGAGTTCTTTTGCTTATTCTGTAGTAATATAAATTAAAAATATTGCATATGAGGTGGCCAAGCACTATCCTAACACTTGAACTGAACTGTTTATGGGAAGCTAATTACTTTGAGCTCGTTTGTTTGTTTGTTTGTAGTTAAGCACAAACCTACTCAAAGGGCTATCTGTGCTCTGTCCACCACGGGTATCGAAACCCGGTTTCTAGCGTTGTGAGTTCGCAGATATACCGCTGTGCCACTGGAAGGCTAATTTGAGCTATTTTGCTTATTCTTTGGTGCTATAAATTAAAAATATTTCATATGAAGTGGCCAATCGCTATCCAAACACGTAGAAAGTCACACTGTGTTAGACTAGTTAAGTAATAGGTGATAGTTATCATAAAATATCTTAATAATTCTGCGAGGAAAAAGGTTTACAAAAACTTACTTGGCATGCTCTTGTGGTTAGGGCGCTTGACTCACAATCTGAGAATCGCGAGTTTGAATGTCCGTCGCCGAACACCCGTGTGTAAAAGTTCTTGGCGTACAAAAAAAATACCGGTCAACCCCAAACTAGTTGGGATTAATGTAGTTACTGAGAATTGTATATGTCGAACGATTCTGAAACACACTGCTTACTGTGTTAAATCTAATCAGAAACTAAACTAAATTTTCTTTAAACTTAATGTTTTCATTCATTAAGTTTATGCAGATTTTAGGTTTATATTATAATAATAATATTATAATATTACTTTTTTCTTCAGATGTAAATTTGTGTTGAAACTGCATTATCTATAAATAAAAATATAATCCAAACACATAAAGGCGATGATCTAAATTGTAATTAAAACATCTTTTTAAAGCACAGAATTTCTTGTTGAACTTCTCATCAGTTTGAGCTTTACTTGTTGCTAAACTTATTTACCTTGTAAAGTTGTTGATGTCAATTGTATTCCGTTGTCTCTTTCCCAGGTGAACGTGACGTAATCTCGAACAAATGAGGGCACGTGGCATCTAAGCACTGCTGTATTACCCCTAATAACAAACTCGTCAAATAATTGAACTTTATAATCCTGTTGTATTGCTGTGGAATATACAAAGGTAAATAGAAAGATTTATGTTAATTTTCACTAAACAGTTCACAAAATGTTTATTATGCTAATTTTAAATAATCATTTTAAAATTTGGAAATAATGACAAAATATGAATAAGTATAATAAGGCTATCTTCACAGCTATCCCTAATTTTGATGTGATAGACTAGAGGGAAGACGGCTAGTCAACGTTATCCACCTCTAACCTTAGGCTTCTCTTGTTAGAACAAATAGGGAATTTCCATGTCATACTTATAACGCACTCATGGTCTCAGATTCACAGTCCAACACTCTAAGCACTGGATCGGCTTTTGATGTGAGTTATTCTCATTTTGTATAAGCTGTACAAGTCTAAATCAATGTATTCCAGCATATGATGGTTATTTATTTCTTTATTACTTACAAAAGATGTGGAGCCGAGTAGAGGCCAGTGATTAGCATGCCGGATATGTGGATCCGATGTTCCATGATCTTCGCACCTGTTATCACTTAAAAAAGAAAAAAAGATTGTTGCGCTTTGCACTTTGGGGGCATATATGCGTTAAAGAGTGACGGTCAAATCCATCTAGTCAATTAGAGTAAATTACGAGTTGGCGGTGGGTGGTGCTGACTGGCTGCCTTCCTTATAGTCTAGTACTGAGAGCCCTTGAGTAGTTTTGCGCGAAGTTCAACAAATAAACAATTTAAGGATATTTTAGTTTAAATATACCCTTGATTCAAATTACTCACAAATCTAAAACTAAAAATTTCAGCATGTGATTTTTATTTACTTGCTTGGTGTTTTCTAAAGATGTGCAAGGATATCTTCATCTATAAAAGATTTGACAGAGTGAAATATAATTAATGTCCTTCTGGCGAAAATATTATGTCTAAGTCAGATCTTTATTACCGTCACCAGAATATATCGAAGGTTACATTATATTTTAGCAAAACATAATACCTTTTTTTTCAGATTCACTATCCTATTTTTCTCTCTATAAAGTCGAAAATACACAGAAAACTCATTTTAAATGTATGTAATGTTTTACCTAAACACTCTAGACATTTTTGTTCACGAAAATGTATATTGTTAAGGAATGAGTAACATTAAAAACAGGAAGAAAAAATAATTGCCCCCCAGTAGCACAGCGGCATGTCTGCGGACTTACAACGCTAGAATCCGGGTTTCGATACCCGTGGTGGGCAGAGCACAGATAGCCCATTGTGTAGCTTTGTGCTTAATTACAAAACAAACAAACAAAAAATAATTAACTCTCAAATTATATTTTACAAATGAAGGAAAAGCTGTATTATCAAAATACTGTGCCATTCTTAGGTAAGAAAGAAAGAAGACAAATTATGAAAATTTGTGTTGTGGTCTGAATCATTCAAGCTGTTTAAAAGTAATATAATGTGTTTGCTTGTTTTGTAATTAAGCACAAAGCTACACAATGGGCTATTAGTGCTCTGCCCACCACGGATATCGAAACCCGGATTCTAGCGTTGTAACTCCGCAGACATACCGCTGTGACACTGAGGGGCAATATAATGTGAATTTATCAGCTGATATTGATTTGTTTAAGTTGTACATTTGTGATAAAGACATGCTCATTGTCCTTATGTAAAATGACAAATGTGAATATGTTAAACTTAATGTTAGAAGATACATTTATAGTTAAATAGATTTATAGGCAATCATAATTGAATATATATGTATGAAAGAGAGAGAATGTAAATACAGAGCAGGAAAGTTAATTATTTCTTTATTTTTTTCAATTGAACAATAAAGAGTCAGCATTTTTTGTAGCAATGCTAACTTTTTTAGCTTTAGTATTCTCTATTCTTAATACAAGTATCAAGTATTAATACCGCAAGAGTGTTTCTCGATCTAAAATGTAGTGGTTGAGTTACTTTATTTTTGTTATTTATTTATTTGCATGAAATATTTCATTTAATAAGCATAGAAACGCTGCTATAGCAAATTCCCAATCAATATCAAGAGATACAATTCTATCGTACTTCAAGCGACTTTTAATAAGATTTGTTTTTCGATCACAGGTGCATTGATAACGGTGATGAACGCTTTGAACATTTGAAATGTTAGACTGATTCAGCGGTAAAGCAACTACACCTTAATCATGAAAAAAGGTTTTTAGTGTTACTTTGTAGCGAAACTTTTATGTCTTATTCTGATCTCTTTTATTGGCACGTGCTACGGAAAGTGAAGTAAAGGCTACATTATCAAAACACAGTGCCTTATTTTTCAGGTTTACTGTTCTTTTTCTTCCTCTATAAAGCCGCAAAATACACAGAAGACTTATTTTAAAAGTATGAAGCGTTTTACGTAAAAACTCGAGATATTTATTCATGATAATGTATTATGTTAAACAAAACAGTGGAAATTAAAAAAATTAACTTAAATTATGCTTTGCTAGCATAAATAGAAACTTATGTAACCCTATATACTGTTAGTTGACATATACAACTTTAAACATAACAGAAAATTGAGGCTTTATTGCAATGAATGTAAAAATTCTACTGCATTCATTAAACTAATTTGATCAAAATTTTTAATCGTTGAATTTGAAGTATAGTTTCCTATACTACCATTTATCAGTTTTAGAGAAAGATATTAACTTCTACACTTAGAACTTAATATAGATCTCCAATTTATATAAACATACAAATTATGCTATAAATGAAAAATACTATGCTTGCATAAATTATTCTTTTCGTCAGTCCGTCCAGTCCAGGTGAGTGTCTATACGTACAACTATCTTACAAGTGGTAGAATGATATTTTATTTTCCTTGCAATACGTTTTAGATCATTTCATTTGTGTTTCAAGTTAAAGTGGAAATCTTTTGAATGAAAAAAGACACTCAGTGTTATTAGAAAGCTCCACAGTTTTAGATATAGAAATTGTCAAGTAACTCGATCTTATTATATTGGCATATTTCAAATAATAATAATCCACTATTAAATGCAAAATTGAGAAAGTATTTTTGTGTAATATAGAGCATACTTTATTATTTATCATTATTTATCAAAAAATTAACAGTGTGAAAAATTTTGTTTTGAATCAGAGTTTGAATTCATTATACGGTTGCAAATACTGAACCAAAAAATAAGGAATTTTGTGTACAAAAACATTCAATGCAATTTTATATACGCACCTATTGATAGAAGGCGTCATGATTAGGAAAGGTGTATGTTTTATGAACAGCTCAGAAATTAATTATAAAAGTATGTCATGAAAATTCTTTTTATAATCCAAACATAAATATTATTATATATGCATAGTAGTGTGGAATATTCTTAAATAAGCAGAAATATGATAATCTTATCCCAAATTTTAAAATTATCTTGCATACAAGACTCATCAAATTGAATTCACTTCTAAGGGCAATATATTAGAAAATAGGGGTGTAAAAGTAATGTAGTTTGTGAGAGGTGTGATTATTAGCCTATACTAAATTCAATTTCTATACACTGAATTATAAAATTTATGTTGACATTTGAATTTCTGCAAACTTTGTAATTTTAAGTATATAGCCAAATAAGGTGTCACTGTTAATTGATATATACATTTTAGTTTTTAGACATGCACTTCTGTTCTGTTCATTAATATATTGTTTATCTCTGTAGACAAATATTATAATATGATATTGGGATAGTATCTTTAGAGCCTCAAATAGAATGGTGATCCTAGAAAAAAGTAATATATACTTTGAAACCGATATCAACAATAAAATGTAGCTTGATTACATAGTTTCCATTTTTAGATTGAGGCATTTTTTTATTATTCGGTTTCTAAAAAAAATAAAACTCTAGTCACAAAATACATACAGTATCATAATAAATTAAAATACTATTAGAATTTTAGATATTAAAAATAAATAAAAAGTGTAATATTCGTGAGATAAAACAATAGTATTATAAATACATTTAAATTTAATCACGCAGACATCGAGTTCATGATCTTCCACTAGTTTCACATAATGAACAAATAGGTTTGTTAATCAACAAATAAAACAAACTGTTTTTTTTTAATTTGGAAATTGCTATTTTTAGGATTGGCTATAATTGTTACTAAAATTAATTACAGAGTCGTTGAAAATGTACACACACACACATATATGTATATTATCATTAGAACTAGTATTTTTGGATTACTTTATTACTTTGTGTCGCAAAACTTTCTACGAAATTCTGGAATGAATGGGAAATGAATTTTGTTGTTAGGATATGAAAAATATATTTTGACAAAAGCACTACCTATATATTTTTTTATGAAGAGTTATCGGTTGATTCATTTTATGTTAATTTACGATATGATTACTCATATCTGTGGTTCTATAGAATTTTATTACCCTCGGCGAATATTTTTGCTTATAAATCTTTTTTTTTATCATAGTAGAGAAGTAACGTTATCAGTTGAAAAAACAAACAAAAAAAAACGCCACAGAAAATAAAATGTTCATTATTTGTGATCTGATATTATTTCTATAGTGGCGAAAGACAAGAATCATATTTAAAGTAAAAGAATAGATGTAATAAAGTAATGATATGTCTGACATACCTCTTTAGCATTGTAAGTGTCTTGGATAAAACAGAACCAGTCACTATCTTCAAAACTGATGGAACGTGTTTTAGCTCATCGAACAAATTGTTCATTGAAAAATAATCTATGTGTCTGTCTATTTCTATTGCTTCCCTCTTTGTAAATAAAGAAAAAAATATTTTCTTTGTAACTTTCAACGGTGGAGTTTAAAACAAAGTGTTACTTGAGGGAGAATTATTTTTTTGTTTATCAAAAGCCTATATTACACCCAACGTCGATAGAGAATTTGGTGATTTCTGAAGCAACTTGAAGAACTGGTTTCAAGAAACCCATATACTTTTTTTTTCTCTCTTCCCATAACTTTTATGCATTAGCCTTCATGGTTGTCAATAAAAATGATTGATACGCACCATTAAAGCTTTGCAGACAAATTGTATAGGTATTCCCTA